GCCTCTTACCCCGCCTCCCTCCACAAACGGCTCCTGAGGAACAACAGGAGATCCTGGAGCGACCCACCAGCTCAGCAAAGGGCCGGTGGGACCAGTACGAACGCCCGCGCCATACTGGGAGGGCGCATTCGGGGGTCTGCCCTCTGAGAGAGGCCGCGCTGCTCAGCAAAGGGCAGAGAAAGCTGCTGGCACTTGAATTTGGGAGGGCTGAGCCCTGATGGTCCCGATGCCCTCTCCCTGTCTTGGATGTGCTGAGTTTTCCCTTCTCTGCAGCGAGGGGCTGTGTCCTCCTCGCCCAGATTTGGGCGCTGCCTGTTTACACCTCATGATGGACCCACTGGGAAGTCACTGGGCAGAAATAACCTCTTTTTGCCTGTATTTGAGACAAATGGGGAGGGGGGGAAAAAACCCCACCCATTTCTCCTAATAAGGGAACTCAGAGTGATGAATTTTCCACTTCTCCTGAAGTTCTTTCCTCGGAGGCACTGATGCATTTTTAATGGGTCTCGATGTAGCTATTAAGCCGGTAATTGAAACGGAGAGCCCTCCAGCGCGGCCCCGGCCCCACGGCAGGCCAGGACCCCTCCGAGAGGTTTCCCACGCCACGAAGGTGGGCTGATGGATTTTCCTGAGGTTCCCTGCTCACCCACAGCATCACCCACCCCCCCCCAGGCCCCATCACTGGGCAGGGCATTGCCACTCAGTTCCCAGAGCCTGAGGGACCCGGTGTCCCTAGCCCAATCCTGCCTGGCGGGGGCTGACAGGGAAAATATTTGGGGAGGGAGCCGGTCACCTTCTCCCTGTCCCATTGCTGGGGGGGCAGAGGGGGGGATAACACACACGCACCCCCGCTAACCCTGCAGCTCTGCCGCCCGGGGGGATGAAGCCCAGGCAGCAGAGGAGCCCCCAGCCCTAATCCCAGCCATGCACCCCTGAGGAACAGCCAGAGGGGGCACAGCAGGTTGGGGGGTGCTGGGGGGGAGGGACAGCAGGTTGGGGGGCGCTGTGAG